CTAGAATGCTGAAGTTTTGCGTGATTGCCTTTGCTACTTCAGCCCCGTATGCTGAAGTTACGCGAAAAAGTGGGTACGCTTGCAATTTTTTTTGCAAAGCAAGCACAAGTTAAAACGTAACCTAAAAAGCGGGTATAGATGCAAATCCCCCATATCCTAAGATTGTCTTTGGTGTCGAAAAATGTGTTGAGTCACCAAATGGGTTGGTTATATGCCGAATATTTGCTTGGATCCGGATAGGCTGGTCTAAATAATGATTCATAACCCGACCAATCCGCTAAAACAATATTTCTTTTCTTCTTTTATTATTACCAAAAAATTAAGTAAAACTGTTATTTATGGCAATATCTAACCACGCCAAACCAAAACAAAAAAATTATTTTGACAAGTTTACTTTTGAGTCAATTGGTACTGCGTACAAAGCACAAATCAGCTCAAATTTTAGATGGCCCAACCCGTCATGAATGGGAGAAATTCAAAAATAGCTAGATCTATAAGTGGTCATTCAAAAATAGCTGCAGTTTCAAAGTAATCAAAATTTAGCTACTTTGTAAAGATAAATCTGAACGAAAACACTATTAAAAATACGAAAAATACTCTAGCATAATATATTGGAATTCCATTATAATATACTGGAACTCCAGCATAATATACTGGAGTTTTAGTATAATATACTGGACTTCCAGCATAATATACTGGAGTTCCAGTATAATATACCGGTCCAGCATAATATGCTGAAAGTTTATACACAAGTGCTCCAATCTCCAGTATATTATGCTGGAACTTTCCGCGTGTTGGAGTTCCAGCATAATATGCTGGAAGTTCATACACAGGTGCACCAATCTCCAATATATTATGCTAGAACTTTCCGTGTTGCAGCAAAATAGCGCTATTTTTCAATCACTTTGCAAACGCTGGCTATTTTTAAATGACCAGTCCGAAAACTGGCTAGCCCATGCTATTTTAACGTCATGAATATATGACGGGGAAGTGCAGAGTTAGCCACTAATTAGAGATGTCTTTACCCTTTAGCCACTGTTTAAAATGTATTTATCCTTTAGCCAGTACTTAATAAATTTTTACCCGCCCGGACAAAAATACCCCTGTGCTAGACATGGGTGTTGTGTAAATATTAAGGACATGCTGTCCTTAACTTAATGAATGCTCTGTAAATATTAAGGACAAAGTGTCTTGTATTTGCACTTTCCGTTGCTAAACTTTAGGACATCATGTCCTTAACTTCATATATGCAGTGTAAATGTTAAGGACATGGCGTCCTTAACTTCATGTGTGCAGTGTAAATGTTAAGGACATAATATCCTTAACTTGTATTTGCACTTTCTATTGTTAAACTTTAGGATCTCATGTCCTTAACTTCATATGTGCACTGTAAATATTTAGGACATGGTATTCTTAACTTCATGTCTGTAGTGTAAATATTAAGAACATAGTGTCCTTAACTTTATGAGTGTTGTGTAAATATTAAGGACAAAGTGTCATTGTATTTGCACCTCCGTTGTTAAACTTTAGGACATCATGTCCTTAACTTCATATGTGTAGTGTAAATGTTAAAGAAACCATATCCTTAATTTTGGAACAGCACTCATGAAGAAAGGTGCAAATACTTACACAACCCTTCATGAAAGGGAGAAATTCAAAAATAGCCAGATTTACATGTGGTCATACAAAATAGCCACAGTTTCAAAAGTAATCGAAATTTAGCCACTTTATAAAGATAAATCTGAACGAAAATACTGTTCAAAATACGGAAAATACTCCAACATAATATACTGGAATTCCAGTATAATATACTGGAACTCCAGCATAATATACTTGAGTTTTAGTATAATATACTGGACTTCCAGCATAATATACTGGAGTTCCAATATAATATACCGGTCTAGCTTAATATGCTGAAAGTTCATACACAAGTGCTCCAATCTCCAGTATATTATGCTGGAACTTTCCGCGTGTTGGAGTTCCAGCATAATATGCTGGAAGTTCATACACAGGTGCACCGATCTCCAATATATTATGCTAGAACTTTCCGTGTTGCAGCAAAATAGCGCTATTTTTCAATCACTTTGCAAACGCTGGCTATTTTTAAATGACCAGTCCGAAAACTGGCTAGCCCATGCTATTTTAACGTCATGAATATATGACGGGGAAGTGCAGAGTTAGCCACTAATTAGAGATGTCTTTACCCTTTAGCCACTGTTTAAAATGTATTTATCCTTTAGCCAGTACTTAATAAATTTTTACTCGCCCGGACAAAAATACCCCTGTGCTAGACATGGGTGTTGTGTAAATATTAAGGACATGCTGTCCTTAACTTAATGAATTCTCTGTAAATATTAAGGACAAAGTGTCTTGTATTTGCACTTTCCGTTGCTAAACTTTAGGACATCATGTCCTTAACTTCATATATGCAGTGTAAATGTTAAGGACATGGCGTCCTTAACTTCATGTGTGCAGTGTAAATGTTAAGGACATAATATCCTTAACTTGTATTTGCACTTTCTATTGTTAAACTTTAGGATCTCATGTCCTTAACTTCATATGTGCACTGTAAATATTTAGGACATGGTATTCTTAACTTCATGTCTGTAGTGTAAATATTAAGAACATAGTGTCCTTAACTTTATGAGTGTTGTGTAAATATTAAGGACAAAGTGTCATTGTATTTGCACCTCCGTTGTTAAACTTTAGGACATCATGTCCTTAACTTCATATGTGTAGTGTAAATGTTAAAGAAACCATATCCTTAATTTTGGAACAGCACTCATGAAGAAAGGTGCAAATACTTACACAACCCTTCATGAAAGGGAGAAATTCAAAAATAGCCAGATTTACATGTGGTCATACAAAATAGCCACAGTTTCAAAAGTAATCGAAATTTAGCCACTTTATAAAGATAAATCTGAACGAAAATACTGTTCAAAATACGGAAAATACTCCAACATAATATACTGGAATTCCAGTATAATATACTGGAACTCCAGCATAATATACTTGAGTTTTAGTATAATATACTGGACTTCCAGCATAATATACTGGAGTTCCAATATAATATACCGGTCTAGCTTAATATGCTGAAAGTTCATACACAAGTGCTCCAATCTCCAGTATATTATGCTGGAACTTTCCGCGTGTTGGAGTTCCAGCATAATATGCTGGAAGTTCATACACAGGTGCACCGATCTCCAGTATATTATGCTAGAACTTTCCGTGTTGCAGCAAAATAACGCTATTTTTCAATAACTTTGCAAACGCTGGCTATTTTTAAATGACCAATCCGAAAACGGGCTAGCCCATACTATTTTAACGTCATGAATATATGCCAGGGAAGTGCAGAGTTAGCCACTAATTAGAGATGTCTTTACTCTTTAGCCACAGTTTAAAATGTATTTATCCTTTAGCCAGTACTTAATAAATTTTTACCCGTCCGGACAAAAATACCCCTGTGCTAGACATGGGTGTTGTGTAAATATTAAGGACATGCTGTCCTTAACTTCATGAATGCTCTGTAAATATTAAGGACAAAGTGTCTTGTATTTGCACCTTCCGTTGTTAAACTTTAGGACATCATGTCCTTAACTTCATATATGCAGTGTAAATGTTATGGACATAGCGTCCTTAACTTCATGTGTGTAGTGTAAATGTTAAGGACATAATGTCCTTAACTTGTATTTGCACCTTATATTGTTAAACTTTAGGATCCCATGTCCTTAACTTCATATGTGCAGGGTAAATGTTTAGGACATGGTGTCCTTAACTTCATGTGTGCAGTGTAAATATTAAGGACATAGTGTCTTAACTTTATGAGTGTTGTGTAAATATTAAGGACAAAGTGTCATTGTATTTGCACCTTCCGTTGTTAAATATTAGGACATCATGTCCTTAACTTCATATGTGTAATGTAAATGTTAAGTAAACCATGTCCTTAATTTTGACGCAGCACTCATGAAAAAAGGGTAAAAACGTCTTTTCATATTATTTGAATAGAGTAATGGCTATTTTTGCTCAAAACTAAAAGTAACGGATGAATACTACATACCACGTTAAAAAGTGGTTATCCCACGCTATTTCTACGTATATGCCCAGCCAACCCAACACGTCCAAACTTGGCAGTTCGGGCAAATTATATTTAAATTTGATATCCTACATAGGGGTGTGCATTCGATTTATCGATTCGATACCCTTATCGATAATTACTTATCGATTATCGATTTGTACATATGCTTATCGTTATCGTTTCAATAAGGATTCAATTTATCGATTTTTGGGGCTTATCGATTCGGTTATCGATTACACCAATAAGAAAATTTGCGGGATTCCACGGAAAGTATATCGCTATAAACACGCCTAAATAATATGGACAAAAAGAAGCTAAAATAAGACGAACACCGTTTATAACATAAAAATTGTGTCAACAAGCACATGCAACGAAACTAAAGTAAGTGATCAAATGTATGCCACCAACACTCCAACGGTGTTCAAATTAATATTTATGTTGTCTTTTTAGTATATCTTGTCGGTTTATCGATAAACCGATAACCGAAGAGGACAAAATTGAAATCGAAATCGGTAACTCGATAAGGAAAATTTCGAAATCGAAATCGATAAATCGATAAAACGATACCGATAAACCGATAACAAATAATCGATTCGATTTATCGATAAACCGATTCGAATGCACACCCCTATCCTACAAGACATGAACACTTATTGGTGATCGTATTTATTCATCAGCTTATACTTTCCCATATTCATTTTTTTGTCATTGTGTCTACCTGAAGAAGCAGAGTCTCTGCCCTCCAGGGTAAGAGTAAGGTTGGTACATCCTTCCCTCTCGAGACCCCATTTGTGGAAATACATTGGGCTGCTATTATTGTTGTTGTGTTCACTAGTATTTTTAAATCTTGAATTCGCTTTTAGTTAGACAATATGATTTAGAGGTTTTGTGTCACTAATTTTTTGAAAATTTGATTACAATGCAGGGTTTGGTGATACTCACAATACAAGCTCGTTCAACCTCTTTGAAACCACAAAAATGCAACTTGACAAACATGGGATGCGAACAAGTTGAGGGTGCACAAGCTGCAATGTTATTCATAGGACTTTACTTAGTGGCATTGGGTGTAGGAGGCATTAAGGGATCTCTGCCACCCCATGGAGCTGAACAGTTTGATGGAGAAACCCCACAAGGAAGGAAACAAAGATCAACTTTCTTCAATTACTTTGTGTTTTGCCTCTCATGTGGAGGCCTCATTGCTGTCACTTTTGTAGTTTGGGTGGAAGATAACAAGGGTTGGCAATGGGGATTTGGGATTTCAACTTTGGCTATATTGTTGTCAATCCCATTATTCCTTGCTGGTTCTCCTTTCTATAGGAACAAGATTCCTCGCGGAAGTCCTCTAACAACAATATCCAAGGTAATTATGTTTTTATATGCATTTTATTGAATTTAACTTATGTACACTGACAATTACTACTAAAGAAATATGCGAATTTCCGATCGGAATATTTTGATTTCCGAAATTGGCTCGTCGGAAACATTTCTGGCGGACTTCCTGTCGAAAATCCCATATTTTCAGTGGCATTACGATGGGAATGACCGTCAGAAATTCATACTCCCTCTGTTTCAATTTAGATGAGACACTTTCCTTATTAGTCTGTTCTAAAAAGAATAACACATTTCTACAATTGGAAATCATTCAACTTTATACTCTTCATTTTACCCGTAATGAGAAGTTTTTATAATCACACAAATGTCATGGCCCCGAAAGCTTTTACCTCTTAAGCTTTTAAGACCACAAGTTTCAAAAATTATTTTTTTTTCTTGAACACCGTGCCGAGTCAATCTACCTCTTCTAAATTGAAACGGAGGGAGTAGTATTTTAGCATAATCATTGTAGCAATTTAACTGTCGCGTTTTCAAGTTATTGATCCAACTTATTATGAATGACTACTTATTATTATCTTTTAGATGGCTCGACAGTGTAAAAATTCTTTTACATTGGAAATGTATAAAAGTTGAAGTCTTTTATTATAAACAACTTTTACATAAGAGTGCTTTGAGCTTTATCTTGTCTAAGCAACTAATATTGATACTGTTGTTATGTATCTAGGTTCTAATTGCAGCCGTGCTAAATTCTTGTGCATCGAGAAATTCAGGTAGTGCAATAACAAGTTTGGGTTCAAGCCCTTCTACAATTCCAGTACTACTATCCAGAGAAGATGGGGAAACTACAAACATCAAATATGTAGAATCGATCGAGATCCCATCGAAAAGTCTGAGGTTCCTTAATCGAGCTGTTGTGAGAAATCCTGCCGCTTGTGGTGCGTTGAAATGCTCAGTGCAAGAAGTAGAAGAAGTCAAGATTGTGATGAAAATCCTACCAATTTTCGCCTGCACAATAATGCTCAACTGTTGCCTGGCTCAACTATCCACATTCTCAGTCCAGCAAGCTGCAACTATGAATACAAATTTTGCCAAGTTAAAAGTTCCACCAGCTTCACTCCCTATTTTCCCTGTATTGTTCATCATGATCCTTGCACCGATTTTCGACTACTTCATCATCCCATTTGCCCGAAGAGTAACCAAGACAGAGATGGGAATCACTCACCTCCAACGTATTGGTATCGGTCTGTTCCTGTCAATTGTAGCAATGGCAATAGCAGCTCTTGTTGAGGTCAAGCGCAAACGAGTAGCTACGAACTCGGGACTAGACTCTACGAAGCCATTGCCTATTACGTTCTTTTGGATCGCGTTTCAGTACTTGTTTCTTGGATCAGCGGATCTTTTCACTCTAGCCGGACTACTTGAATTTTGTTTCTCGGAAGCACCATTTAGTATGAGATCATTGGCAACATCACTCTCTTGGGCTTCTTTAGCCATAGGATACTATCTTAGTACAGTGATAGTATCAATTGTCAATAGCGTCACAGGCAATTCAAAGCACCACCCATGGCTTTCTGGTCGCAACTTGAATCACTTCCATTTGGAGAGATTTTACTGGCTAATGTGCATACTCAGTGCATTGAATTTCATAAACTATCTGTATTGGGCTACAAAGTACAAGTACAGATCAGTAAGTTGTAGTAAGTAAAAGTGACAGTTGAGTTGTATAGATGAAACTATACCAATTATTGTAGCCTTAGTCTCTGTAAATATGTCTGCTGAATTGCTGGACATTGTCCATGCAACAGGACTAGGCCAGAAATGAGAGAAAGTACAGTTCCAGTTTTGATCAATTGATCGAGTCTCAAGCCACTTTACAATTTCTACTCACATCTTTTTATTATGTCACATCTCTAAATAACATCTTGAAGTTATCAAAAATGATCGAATATATCGATGTTAAAGAATGTCATGCTCTGCACCAATGCTTTTTTGTGATATATATTTGTTTGATGATTAGTTATTCATAATGCGTACAAGTATCGATAGCTTCAAGTAGGAAGACAAATAATTATTTCAGCACTGCTTCATGAACGACTTTAGGCAGAAAGGAAAACTCAGCAGGGAAGAAAATGATTGACAGATAAGTGCCAAGGGCATGTAGCATATTTTAGGTTAATAATTAGATTATCTAGATATTTGCATGTTCTTGCAGGTCATCTTAACCTAGTAGTATGATAAAATACACGTATTTGTTGCATAGTTTTGGTCCGGTTTCTTTTATGTTCTGCACTTTTTACTACTGGTGATCTTCCTCGTTATTGCTTCTTCATTTGGACGTTGCCCTTTACATTGCATAGCAGTGCATTGCCCAAAACTGCACAGGGAGTCCCATCCCTGTGTACATTTAGTCAAAGGGCCCCTACACACCTCAGTCTCCCTCTCTAGCCACCTGCTGACTGCTGTACAACATCTCCTTATTAGCTTCATGGAATATATATAGTTCTGAGTCGAAATTAGTAATTACAGCTGCATCACTATCCTCGTACTACATTTGCCCGTGCAGAAAGTGTTGGGAATAAATAGCCCACAAAAAAATTATTTAAGGTAATAATAGCGAAATAATAATGTAACGCTGATGTACCATAATCGACAAGAATAATAACAAGGTCACCAAGATTTTTACGTAGAAAACCCTTTGAATAAAGGAAAAAACCATAATCCCAAGAGGTCCAACTGATATCACGTAACAAAAAGAAAATTACACTTTATAGATGTGGGTAAAATACTCCAAAGACCACTACACACTCAAAAAAAGTAATTCTCTTTTGATTTTTTCACCTTACTACAATATCGTTGTATACGGTTAAAATCGGGCTCACCCAATTTTACTGATTTATCGAGACCGGTGTGAAGGATCGAAGAACGATCCTGTAATAGATCAGATCGAGGCACGAGGATAAGACACCGAGTTCGGATTCGAGGTACCTAGAAAGATCGAAACCGATAATAATCGAGGTTGAGCAAGACAGACATCGAGCAAGACCGAACAGAAAAGCGAGATATCCGTAACTGATTGAAAGTCGTGAAGAAAATCTCGGAACAGATCAAATTAAGGGTGGTTTGTTTAGTTAATCATGGGATTTACTTCCATAATTGGAACTGTACCATAGATAGGATTCCTCCACTATATAAAGAGGCTTCTAATCATTTGTAAGGGACATGGTTCTCACGGATCAAAGCAATATAACACTTTCTCTTTAGCTCATATTCTTATTCATCAGCTTGTTATATTTATGACTGTTCTTGCACCAATAAGTTCGAGGGTATTCAAATTCGAGGGCTGAATTTCATTCAAACACTGGTTTGCTTTATCTTATTGTCAATTTCCATTGTTAATCTTCATATTCATCAACTGGTATTAGGTGAAATCACGTGTACTTAAAACCACATTATAAGTTTAATTGTTATCCAATTTTTAGGGTAAACAGTTTGGCGCCCACCGTGGGGCTAAGGATAATAGTGATTGCCTGGTATTAATTCCCATAATACATACTGTTTTACGCTTGTTCTCGTAAGTGTCTTTGATTTCAGGAATCAACATGTCAAACTCTCAAGTAGCACCCACTCACACAGACAACGACCTTGGTCTTAATGGCGAGAACGAAAACATAGTCACCCTGGGAAGCGGAGTACCTCCGGTCAACCCCGACGGACTACCGGCCGTAGACCCAGTCGATGCCAGCTCCCGTATTGCCATCAATGGGAATTTGGGCGTCAACCCTGAGAATAGCATCCGCAGGGATGCTTGAGTAGCCGATCAAAATGCAGAGAGCGGTGAAGAAGACGGAATTAGCCTTCGAATGATATATGAAATTTTACAGACTCAACAAGCTGCGATAGCACAACTCCAAAATCAGAATCGAGCACCAAGCAGAGTTGAGCTCGAAACATCATAAGAAGTTATTCACAGAGCCGAACCTGTACCGGAGAGACCAAACGCCGATGAGTCGGGGACTGACCCCGCAATTATGAAGATGCTCGAAGAACTCACAAAATGAACCGAATCGAGGGAGAAGAAGATTAAGGAAAACGACAAAAGGGTAGAAGCGTACAACTCCCAAGTTGATCAAATTTAGGGGGGCACTACTGATATTGGAAGGACTAGTTTCTAAAATGTCCGTGCAAAGACCCTTCCCCCCTAGTGCAGCTCCGAAGCCAATCCCCAACAAGTTCTGCATGCCCGAGATTCCCAAGTATAACGGGACGACCGGTCCAAATGAACTTGTCACCTCGTATACGTGTGCCATCAAAGGAAAGCACTTGGAAGATGGCGAAAGTGAATCCGTACTGCTGAAGAAGTTCGGGGTGACTCTATCGAAGGGTGCCTTAGTATGGTATCATAACTTACCCCCTAATTCTATTGATTCGTTTGTTATGCTTGCAGATTCTTTTGTAAAGGCACACACCGGAGCCATTAAAGTTGCAACGAGGAAGTCGGACCTTTTCAAGGTAAGGCAGAAAGATAACGAGATGCTTAGGGAATTCGTATCTCGGTTCCAAGCAGAGAGAATGGATTTGCCTCCAGTCACCAATTACTAGGTTGTTCAAGCTTTCACTCAAGGTCTCAACACTCGGAGTTCCATAGCTTCACATCAATTGAAGCAAAGTTTAATCGAGTACCTGGCTGTCATTTGGGCCGACGTACATAATCGGCCCAATTAGCCTCGAATACTGGGGGTGTATTACCCTCGAATGTCTACTTTGTTGCAAGGAAATTACTTCATGACAGCGGAGTCTTGATAGAAAAATGTAAGGGTCAAACGGTCAAATAAACCGTGCCCATATAGATTACTTGAGCCCTAACATCAAACATGCACGCATGTATAATAATCTATTAAGATGAGTACTTTTCCTTGCCGATATCTCATGCCTTTAGAAAAATTTCCTACTTCATACTCTTGTTCTATTGTGTCAGGCTTAAGGGCCGATCATGATGGAAGTTCGAACAACTAACCCACGCTTGAGGACTGCCGTTCGGAAAACAAACGAAATCGAGCTACTAAAATTTCGAGACCATAAGACCTTAAAGGAGACCCTCAATTTTACAGGCCACGGCCACCCCACTCGAGAACTGACACTTCGGGCAAACTCGAGGTGAAACGAAAAATAAGACCAAAGGGAAAGTTCCGAACTAAAGAGGCTACAGCCAAATAAACGCAGATCGGAGACGTCCGAAATCCATAACAAGTACAAAGGCCTAAGGGCTACTTCTACTTCGAGTTCGAACAAGTCCTCACTCGATCATAAAAGCCCAAGGGCTATCTTCACCCGAGTTCGAGCAAACTCTCACTCAGGGATTATCTATAAAGCCCAAGGGCTATCTTTACCCGAGTTCGAGCAAACTCTCACTCAGGGACTATCTATACAGCCTAAGGGCTAATATTACTTCGATTTCGAGAAAATCCTCACTCGACTATAAAGCCTAAGGGCTAACATCACTTCGAGTTCGAGCAGATCCTCACTCTACTATAAAGCTTAAGGGCTAACTTCACTTCGAGTTCGAGCAAGTCCTCACTCGATCATAAAAGCCCAAGGGCTATCTTAACCCAAGTTCGAGCAAACTCTCACTCAGGGACTATCTATAAAGCCTAAGGGCTAACTTTACTCTGACTTCGAGCAAATCCTCACTCGACTATTAAGCTTAAGGTCTAACTTCACTTCGAGTTCGAGCAAGTCCTCACTCGATCATAAAATCCCAAGGGCTATCTTAACCCGAGTTCGAGCAAACTCTCACTCAGGGACTATCTATAAATCCTAAGGTCTAACTTTACTTTGAGTTCGAGCAAGTCCTTACTCGATCATAAAAGCCCAAGGGCTATCTTAACCCGAGTTCGAGGAAACTCTCACTCAGGGACTATCTATAAAGCCTAAGGGCTAACTTTACTTCGAGTTCGAGCAAATCCTCACTCGACTATAAAGCCTAAAGGCTAACTTCACTTCGATTTTGAGCAAGTCCTCACTCGATCATAAAAGCCCAAGGGCTATCTTAACCCGAGTTCGAGCAAACTCTCACTCAGGGACTATCTATAAAGCCTAAGGGCTAACTTTACTTCGAGTTCGAGCAAGTCCTCACTCGATCATAAAGCCCAAGGGCTATCTTAACTCGAGTTCGAGCAAACTCTCAGCCTAAAGTCTAACTTAACTTTGAGTTCGAGCAAATCATCACTCGACTATAAAGCCTAAGGGATAACTTTACTTCGAGTTTGAGCAAGTCCTCACTCGATCATAAAAGCCCAAGGGCTATCCTAACACTAGTTCGAGCAAACTATCACTCAGGGACTATCTATAAAGCCTAAGGGCTAACATTACTTCGAGTTCGAGCAAATCCTGACACGACTATAAAGCCTAAGGGCTAACTTCACTTCGAGTTCGAGCAAGTCCTCACTCGATCATAAAATCCCAAGGGTTATCTTAGCCCGAGTTCGAGCAAACTCTCACTCAGGGACTATCTATAAAGCCTAAGGGTTAACTTTACTTCAAGTTCGAACAAATCTTTACTCGACTGGTAATCCTAAGAGCTACTCAAACTCTAGTTCAAATGGTCATTCGGGGTCCATCGATCTTAGTCGAAATATCAAAGTCCCAAGAATGTTTTTTTCAAGGGTATCCCTCCGAGACTGACACTTGACGCGCTCAGCAACCTCCTTTGCCCGAACCTGAGCAGTTTTCTTTTGCGGAGCGGTTTTAGATGTTTTGGCCATTTTGTTTTTGTGAGCAAGGAAGAATAGAGACTGGAATATTTGGTGCTTTGAGAAGAACAAGCAAAGGAAATCGGGCTCAATTCGTTTCT